GAGTAGTGAGACTAGAAGGGAAAATAAGGACTTGGTGTGTGATTATTGCAAGAAGCCTAAGCATACCAGGGACACTTGTTGGAAGCTTCATCCAAATCTTATGCCTGCYCGGATAAGRAACAAGAAGGGAAATGCAAATGTAGCCACCACAGGAGACTCTTCGGTCCCTCTTTCCCAAACTGATTGGGAATCCATTGCAGTAGAAGCAATGAGAACAGAATTAGAGAGGTTTGGACAGCTTATGAGTAAGGGATTCACCTAGCTCTAGCCTTCCAAATGGACAGTTGAATGCAAGAGCCAACTACACCACTTCCTTTGCACATACAGGTAGTTCATATGCAACTGCAAATCTTGCATCCACTTCCGGTAAGGAGGGACCTCCCTGGATTATAGACTTAGGAGCATCTGAGCACATAACTAATGCCCCTACCCTTTTCAGTTCCTATCAGTTGTAGAGATGGTTCACATATTCCCATTGCTGGGAAGGGGACAGTTGGAGTGACCAATGATATAACTTTGTCTTCTGTTTTACATGTCCCTAGACTTCATACCAACCTACTATCTATTAGTTCTTTGACAAAAAATTTGAATTGTTCCATGACCTTTCTTCCTGGTAATTGTGTTTTGCAAGATCTGGAGTCAAAAAAGATGATTGGGAGTGGTCGTGAGGTGAATGGAGTCTACCTTCTGGATGAGATTCCAAGACATCAGGGCCATCATATTAGCAACAACAGTAGTAGTGGGTCAGAGTCAGTGAACTAGATTATGCTTTGGCACAATCACTTGGGACATCTTTCTTTTAGTTCTTTGAAATGTCTTTTCCCAAAGTTGTTTGAGTCTGTTCAGTTATCTACTTTGGAGTGTGAGAGTTGTCAGTTAGGATAGCATTGTAGACAGTCTTTTAAACCAAGTAATAAAAGAAGTACTTTTGCTTTTAATATTGTTCACATTGATGTATGGGGGTCATATCATAACCCTTCCACAGGAGGATTCTGTTACTTTCTCTTGTTTGTGGATGATTATACACGATATTCTTGGATATATTTGATGAGATCACATGATGAGGTTTCTAACTTGGTACGACAGTTCCACCAGATGGTTCTTGTTGAGCAGGAGGCCAAGAAGAAGAAGAAAAGAAGAAGGAGAAAAGAAGAAGGAAGAAGGAGAAGAGGAAGAGGAAGAAGAATAAGAGGCAACTGAGTTAAGGCCTCAACAAAACTTTGCTTCAGTCGAGTGAAGCTTTGCATTTATACTATTTTGGCCGTACATAACAATATGTCTACAGAATTACAAAAATACCCCTGCGGGTATTAAGTCTGTGAACAGTACATATATTACACCTGTTAGCACTCCCCCTCAAGTTGGGGCATAGATATAAATCATGCCCAACTTGTCACAAAGACCTTGATGTCTGGAATGGTTTAGCCCTTTTGTAAATAAGTCTGCTAATTGGTCTTCAGAGCTGATGTATGGAGTGCATACTTCGCCTGTTGATGATTTTCTCTCTGATAAAATGCTTGTCAACTTCAATGTGCTTTGTTCTATCATGTAGTACCGGGTTGGCAGCGATACTGATAGCTGCCTTGTTGTCACA